GTAGACGGACGTAAGAAAGATTTGAGGAAGCTAATAAGTGTATAAATTTTGGGGTGGGTCTTCGCGAGTTTTTGGGAAAGAGGCGGAAAGAGGAAGAAATCTGACTCCGAATCAAGCTCTGAATCCTCTTCATCATCATCTGACGATGACAGCGACAGTGACTCTGATACTACTTCTTCAAGCTCGTCAGATTCGTATTCAAGTGATGATTAGTAATTTTTTATACTTATACTTTTTTTTTAGAAGCAAAGCGAAGCGTGAAAACAGTCATCATCGCCTTCTTTGAGTAAGTGTCCAGCCTAGATTTATCAGAACGGTATAAAGGGAGCAAAGTTTTGTTAAGAATTCATAAGAATGCTTCATGATTCCTCAAGATTGAAAGGCCAATGATTTTTTTTAATTTCCTTGGAAATGGAAAATGTTCTTGGAGCAGAGGAAAGCCACCGATCTCAACACAAATGCTTGTTTCTCCGAAAATTGGACAGGATCTGTACCGAAAGTTCTGGGGGAATCGATCGAAATCTTTTGATAATCTCTTTCGAGGAACACAACAAATACGGACGATTGGAGAATCAATTCCTGTTCTCAACGAACACCATTACGGCTCATCTTTCCAAAAAAAATCGTCACATTGAGCCGTTTCAAACTCAAATTCCCTGTCATTTGTAAATCGTTATTTATTTTGTAAATCGGGCATTCCCCTCCTTTCTCTTTATTTTCCGTGGTAAGAAATCTCTATTTTGCTTGTTTGTTTTTGTCTTCTCTCATCAATTCTGCCTCTTTAGTAGCTGTTTCCTTTAATTTTCACTTGTTCTTCGAGAAAATTCAGTCATTTTGTAGGCATCCAATCGTCTAGCAACCGAAATGGACAATCTTTCGAATCTTCCTCCTCGATGTCTTCAGAGCATCTCTTCTTTTTCCAAATCTCCAGAAATGCCCGAGATGACTGAAGAATTGCCTGAAAAGAGTGTCAAACGCATAGAAGAACCGGCCATCTCGTTGAAGAAAATCGCCCAACTCGAAGCCGATTTGTGGGTTTTTCGCCAAATCTTTGCTTCTATCAAAAACAGTCTTTAATTTAATCGAAGAGTTTAGGGAAGAAATGAAAAAGGACAAAGAGACCGAGATGAGTCGATTGGCAGCAAATATGGTTCAGATCGAGGCGAATTTGAAAATCGCAAAGTTGGAGGCCGATTTGGTTGACGAAAGGGAAAGAAATCGAGAATTGGAAAGGAAAATCGCCGAGACGAAAAGGAAGAACGACGATCTCGAGGCACAATTGTACTAATTTTGTGACTTTCTTTTCTGATAAGCTCAATATAAAGTTAAAATGCGAATTTTTTTCAGAAGAACTCAAAACACGGAATTGAGGGAAGGAAAGGCCAAGATTGGAGAGCTCGACGAGAAAATCAACGCGTTGCTGAGCAAAAACTCTGGCCTCGAAACCCAAATGTGAGTTCATTTGGTATATCTTGTTGACTGAGACTTGAGAAAACAGTTTTTTCATTCCCAAAACACCCATTCCACTCAAGCCAATCAATTCCTCTCTAGACAATTTGAAAGCGAAAATAAAACGGCCGAAATCATGAAGTTGCAGGCAGATTTGTGAGTTTTTTTAAGAAAAGGGATTGAGTATTTGTTTACAAAGTTTGAAGTAAAGTCTTTCGAAGAAATTCAGAGATCGAACGTTGAATCTCTTGGATCCGGGTGGATGGTCGTATTTGGCAAAAACCGCTTCTTGGTACAAGGTTTGGTGGAGGTTGTGAACTAGGATTATCTTCATCTCAAGGCTTTTGATCAATGGAAAACATTTGATGAAGCCGTGGCATATTGTGCGAGTCAAAAGGGCCATTTGGTCACAATTCACAGTCAGGAAGAGAACGATTTTGTTCAGAAACTCGGTAAGAAATCGAAATGATTCGTTTCTGAAAATTTATGATTTTCGTAGAAATTTATGCTTTATAAACCAAAAACAACCGATTTATTTCAGCGAAAACTATTGGTTCGTTTGATCTGTTCTGGATCGAACTGAAGGTTGAATTTTTCTTATTGAAAGACATAAATAAATAAAAATTAATGATCCTTTCGGCCATTTTGTGAAAAAATGAGCCCTTTGACTGATAGTTCTTTGATAGAAATAATGGTTTCAATTGGGAAACTAGAATAGTTTTAAAATGAAAAAAAATCGAAGTATCAACGGTGAAACATAAAAATTTCTTTATTCAGAGAAATCCGGACAAAGGAGATGCTTTTGAATGGACGGATGGAAGTTCGGTGGATTTCACGAATTGGATGGTGGGAGAGCCGGATTCGAACACCCACGCTGCGGTGAGATTTTCAACGTGAAATCATCAACATTTATAGTAATTTCCAATGCATAATTAATCCAAAAATATTTGGATCAATCTTAGGAGATTTATTTGTGTAAGATAAAGGAAAATGTTTTATCAAAGGATTTCCATCAGAAATGAATACATTTCAGCTTTGGGGCGGCGATGGGAAATGGGGAGCCTATCCTTCTACCAATCCGTATCGTTTTATCTGCAAAATGAGCTCTCAATTCTCATAAATGCTTTGTGTTCTTTACCGTGGACAAAAACCAATAAATCCCATTTTATTCAATCTTCTGAATAACAACTCACATTATCTGAAAAACAACTGCACATTATCTTTTTCTTTATTTCTGAATTGTTTGTTCAAGATCTCATATGAAAAGTTTTCCCAAAAATCCAGAATTCCGCCTGAAGCTGCAAGTATTTTGCTCTCTCGTCGCTCCTGAATAGACTATTAGATGCCCGTTGGTGATGTTAAACTGAAAGTATGGATTTCATTCGAAATTCCCCATTCATTTGCCTCGTGATGTTCTCGGCGTCGTTTGCGAAGAATGACGTGTAGCTAAGCGAATTTCTTTGTCCAAATCCAAAATCTCTTTGAGCACGAGTAGCGAGTGAAGAGGTCCGCCGAAAGAGATGCTGTTGGATAATCGCTTTGAGTTTAACAAGGATTTCTTTTCAATCAAAGGAGTCCCTGATCATTTAATAACTGCTCACAATAATAAAGTTTTCATTCAAGCCCACACGGGTTTCTCTCTTTGTGATCTCCATCAAAACTTTGCTCTGCTTTGTTCCTAATCTAGGCCCTTGAGCTAATCTGCAAAATGATAACAAATTGATCGCCTCTCGATCGAACCACAGAACGCCGAGCTTTCGATCTATGCCATTATTCTAATTAATTTGGACTAACAGGGACTCCTTTGATTGAAAAGAAATCCTTGTTAAACTCAAAGCGATTATCCAACAGCATTTCTTTCGCCGGACCTCTTCACTCGCTACTCGTGCTAGTCGACCAAGCTGTGAAAACTAGGCCTTGCTGGGTTTAATGTTAGTGTTGACTTTAGTTTTAACAGCCAGCTTTCATCAAGATGCACGCCAGTATCAAGATCAATGACAGGTTTTAAAATAAAACTAGTCGATTTTGATTCCTGGCTTCCTATTCGGATCTATTTGAATAGCGTAAAACCCTGACAAAAGTTAAAAGCCCACTTGGCAAACCCAAAACAGGACAGTTATTGGTTTAATTAACTACTTTTGTATACTAGTACTTTCAAAGATGAGTCCTGGTAGCTATCACTTAGTTCAAGTTGAGTTTAAGTTCAGTTCAAGTCCAAGTTTAATTTGAAACACAAAATCGTGACTTTCTCGAAATACAGGATGAAAAGTTCTATTCAATCGTCAGTTTTCCATCGACGCGTAGCACAAAATACGAACAATTTGATTGATCGGCGTCAATATCGAAAACAAAACAGAAAAAACCGAGAGCAAGTGCGAGCGAGTACCGAATTGGTTACACAGCTTTGCTCAAGCTTAATTCTGACTTAAAGAACCTGTAAACATGTACCAGTCCAATATAGGCTATTCTAAATGAGCCTCGTCATTTCGAGTCAAGAAATGAGTGAATGATTTCTTTTCCTTTGTTTCGGCATGAAAAAGACCACAAAACAGTGGATATTCAATTTGAGTAAGATTACAAAGATGATGCATAGACTTTTCATTTAATTCTCCAGAATATCGCTACATTTAAAGTAACCCTCCCATCGGCTAAAGTTTCTCTGCCGGAATAGTGAATTCGATCATTTTGAACCTCCAATCGTCTTTTGTCCTTTCAATGGCCATTCTTTTCAATCGAAACCAACCGGGCAAAATGAATGAGCCACTTAGCTTATAAAAATTTTTGTGCTTTTCTATGAACTTTGAAATTGAATCTTCAGCAAAAAATAATGATACTTTAAATTTTTTTCGATCATAAATTTATTCGACCATACAATATATCACAGTTACGTTATAGTGAACGAACATTACACAAATCAGGCAATTTTTGAAAGTAGGAGATAATTTATCAAGTTTAAGAAGATTGAGAAGTTGGCAGACTTAGGAGATTTTCATATAAAGTAGTTTAGGCGCTAGAATTCCAATGGTTACTGATTTGGTAACTATGATTCAATTTGGAATAAACCTATCAAAAAAATGTACTATAAAGACATACAGCTCATTATATCTACAATACATACATACTTGCTCTACTTGCTTAATCGATAAGATTACCCAAAAAAGAGACAAAAAACTCCGCCTCCAGAAGTAACAGTGAGTCGAAAAAAAGCATAAATCGAATATTTGAGAACTTCAGGAACAAAAATCAAAGACAAATGGACGAGTTGAGGAACGAGAAGAGCGACCTTCACGAAGAATTGTCAGTTTCCTCATGCTGATGTCCATTGATGTTCAACACGTTTATCTAATAGTCTATTCGGGAGCGACGAGAGAGTAAAATACTTGCAGCTTCGGGCGGAATTCTGGGTTTTTGGGAAAACTTTTATATGAGATTTTGAACAAACAATTCAGAAATAAAGAAAAAGATAATGTGCAGTGGTGTGTTTTCAGAAGATTGAATAAAATGGGATTTATTGGCTTTTGTCCACAGAAAAGAACATAAGGAATTTATCAGAACTGAGAGCTCCTTCCGCAGATAAAAGGACGCTGATCGGTAGGAGACCAGACATCCCATTTCCCATCATCGCCCCAAAGCTGAAATGAGTTCATTTCTGATAGAAATCCTTTGATAAAACACTTTGCGTAATTTCACAAAAAGAAATTTCCTCAGATTGATCGAAAAATTTCAAGATTAATTATGCATTGGAAATTGGAACAAATTTCGATGATTTCCCGCCGAAAATCTCACCGCAGCGTGGGTGTTCGAATCCGGCTCTCCCGATCTCCAATTCGTGAAATCCACCGAACTTCCATCCGTCCATTCAAAAGCATTTCCTTTGTTTGGATTTCTCTGAATACAGAAATTTTTAGGTTTGGACATTGATATTTCAATCCAATTTTCCTTTATCGTTATTGAAATTACTCTAGTTTTCCAATTAATACCATTATTTCTATTAAAGAGTATCACTGCTTATATCTCAACCAAATTTTTTCCATTTTAAGACTATTCTAGTTTCTCAATTTAACTTAGATTTCTATCAGCTTCTATCATTTCAGATTCACATCAAAGAACTCTCAATCAAACGAATCTTTTTTCACAAAAAGCCTTCCGACAATGGCAGAAAGAGCCTGCAGGAAATAGCTGAAAGAATTATTACTTTCTTTTTATTTGGTTTTTTTCAATAAGAAAAGTTCAACCTTCAGTCCGATCCAGAAATAAGCAATCGAATCAACATTTTTCGCTGAAATAAATATCGATTCTTTTTGGTTTATAAAGCATAAATTTCTACGAAAATCATGAATTTTCAGAATTGAATCATTTCGATTTCTTACCGAGTTTCGAAACAAAATCGTGCTCTTCCTGACTGTGAATTGAGACTAACTGGCTCTTTCGACTCGCACAATATGCCTCGGCTTCATCGAATGTCATTTTTTGATCGATAACCTTGAGATGAAGATAATCCTGGTTCACAACCTCCACCAAACCTTGTACGAGGAAGCGGTTTTTGCCAAATACGACCATCCATCCCGATACAGATCCAAGAGATCCATGGTTCGATTTCTGAATTTCTTCGGAAAACATTAGTCCCAGATTCTTTAGACAAATACTCAGTCTATTTCCTTAACAAACGCATAAATCTGCTCGCAACCTCTTGATTTCGGCCATTTTGTTTTCTCTTTTAAATTGTTTTTTAAGAGGGGGGTTGATTGGATTGAGTGGAATGGGTGTTTTGGGAGTCAAAAAACTGCTTTCTCAAGTCGCAGTCGACAAGAGATACCAAACAGACTCACATTTTGGTTTCGAGATCCAAGTTTTTACTCTGCAACGCGTTGATTTTCCTTTCGAGCTCTTCAATCTTGGCTTTCCTGTCTCTCACTTCCGTATTTGGGTCGCTTCTAAAAAAATTTCGATTTTTATCGATATTTTATGTTGAGCTTGTCAAAAAGAAAATTACAAAATTAGTACAATTGTGCTTCGAGATCGTCGTTCTTCCTTTTCGTCTCGGCGATTTTCCCCATTAGATCCGTCTCAATTTGAGCCATTTTTCCTGCCATCTCGACGTCTTTGTCCTTCGTTTCGTTCCGCTGTCTTGCGCTGAATACACAAATTACTCACTACTCAAAAATCCAAAAAGATGAGCTTGAATTCTTGATTTTTTGCTTGATTTTCGATTTCACCCACATTTCCCTCTCGAGTCCGCTGATTTTTCCTCGGGCCTCGACGAGTGCTTGTTCGGTTTCATTCCTGAAAAGTCTTGTCATTGAGACATTCAAGCCTATTTCTTGTTTATTCTATCAAATTCGCTCTATTGATTTGATCTCTATTGATCTCTATTGATTTGATCAAATTTCTTTGACAAGATCTCAAACGGACGGTATCCGGACAATCCTTTTGACTGCTGAAAACTAAGATCATCGAAAAATCTTTTTCTGACCAACTTCAAAGTACGACGATCACGAGACAGAATCTCATCTCGATCATTCGGAGATCTGAATGGTTGAAAACATCGCTATTTGAAGGGAAAAGAATACGTGAATTGATTCAATTGGTCGTTTTGTTGAACCGACGAAGAAATTTGATGGAAAAGGAGGAGAATCGTGATGAACAGACCGACGGCCATCACACCCATTCCGCTGAATTGGTTGATTAGTTTTGAATTCGGGGAAATGGGAAGAACGAATGAGGCTACGATGCGATAAACAATTGTTTTTTTACGGAAAAGAGCTTCTCAGAGCGCTGAAATTGTTTAGAAAAGCGATCGCCTTCCAACCGACGATTGACTCATTAAGCCGTGGCAACAATCGCTTCCAATAGCACTTTGAACAAAGAAAAAAGTGGCATTTCAGAAGAAATAGAACCATCAGTTCGTGTGAGGTTGGTGAATGATAAAACGCGGAGATTGAAACAAGAATGTGGGTATTTTCATGTCTGTTCCCCAGACTTTGCAAAACCCCATTCAATATTCTTTAATTATTTCAGAGATAATAAAACGGTCAGAGATCGAGAAGTGGCACATAGATTTGTGAATTATATCTGACAAAGACGCTTTCTTTGGTCGAAGCTTGTCTATGAGCTTATGGTCTTTGATCATGTCCAAGACTTTCTCGAAATACAGGGTGAAAAGTTCTATCCCCTCTCTAAGAATCATTTGTACGGCCTGAACCAAAGAAGTTAGAGTAAAATCAACCTCAAATTTGGAAATTTTGCCTATTTTTACCTGCTTCTTCGTGAAAAGATTTTTGTTTTGAAAATCCGTTTTGCCTGAATTGTCACCTGGCTTCTTTGACATTCTGGCCCTTCGACCGCAAAAATGGCGAACTCTGAACCAATCTGACCGTAAAGCGGCTAGTTTTAAAGGGAAATGTTTCTTTTTTCTAATATTTAAAAAAGTTGATTCTATTTTGGCTTTTTTACATTTTAAAATCAATCAATTGAGCGGTACCGCAAACCAAAAAAAGTAAATGAGTTCCGCAAGTAATCGAGCTATTAGGTTGAGGAAAAAGTAATGTCGGTTTTTTCATGTAATGTCGGTTTTTTCAAAAATGGGAAAAGATTATTGAAGATAATGGAAAATATTTACAGTCGACTCTCTCTAAAACGGAAAGGAAGAGACCAAAAAAATTTTTCCGTTATACAGTTTAGCGTTGGCCAGGACCTAAATTCCATTCCGCTATATAGATATCCGTTAAAGAGAGAGTCGACTCTAGATTAATTTGATAAATGCTTTGTTGAACATTCAGCTATTTCATATGACCCAATACATATTCGTAATGAAATTATTTTTATCGTTTGGAGCAAAAAAACGCTTCATGCCAATATTGCAAGATGTTATTGATAAGTATTGATAAGCATTGATAGCTCAGATGTACACTCGAGTACTTTTAGCTTTCAAAAACGGACGTGGCTCTGCCTCGCCGTTCATTGAGCCAATAGATCTTGTGGTTTCAAATGTTTTTGATGTCGGAATTCTGCCGTTTGCCTGGATTGGCGTTTACCTGAAAGTTGAAAACCGACAAACAAAGATGATCTTTGGAATAAATTGAAGGCTTAGACTCGATTTTACTAAATAAATCCTTGCCAAAAATTGTTGACTTGATAAAAGCCAAAATAAAAATCACCCTTGAATTAGATTTGTGACAAAAACGTAAAGTAGATAAGCGCTCGAGAAGGCACGTTTTTTTCTTGCCTTTTCATAGCCATTCGTCTTATCCTAAAAAATCTTAAAATCTTGAACAATTCTCGACTTTTTCACCAAAAAGTCAGTAATGTATCGTTTGCTTTCCTTTATTTTTGGTTTCTTTTGCTTCGTGGATGCATATCATTGTCCAGAAGGAAGTATTGAAATACCGGATGAGAATGTGTGCATGTTTGTGGTTGATCAAAGTAAGTTTTTGAAAGGAAATGGTGTAAAATTTAATCAAAAACGGTTAAAATAGCAACTGAATCCTTTAGAGACAAGCTTTGAATCAAAAATCAGTCAAAAACCAAAACAAAAATCCCCAATTCAGCCAAATTCTACCTTGATGCCATTCGCTATTGCCAATCTCTTGGTGGAGTTCCAGTGAAAATTCAGAACATTTTTGAAAACACTTATGTATTCTCAATGACTAAGCAAGGTAATCCGATAAAATAAACATAAATTTCACTATTTTAAGCCTTGAACAATCTATCACCGTATATTGGAGTGGAAAGGAAAATGAATAACTTTTGGGCTTAGGCTGATGGATCACCGCTTACTTATCAGAATTGGGCTCTCAGTGTGTTTATTTGAAAGTTTTGATTGATTCTGTAGATAAATGTTAATCAAATTTAACTAGATTTTAACTAACTGGATTTAGATGAACCAAATAACTCGAGCAATACAAGTCTTTGCACAATAATGGATCCTCAAGTGGATCATGGCTGGCAGCTGAATGTTCATTTGCACGTCCATTTTTCTGTTCAATCAATGGAGATGGTAAGTCAAATGAAACCGAAATTGTATCCATATTGCCTTCCAGATTTGCAATGTCCTGATGGCTGGCTATATAACCAACAAACGGATTCTTGCTATTTCTTGCAGGTATCCTTCTTTTGAATCACCAGTGCTAGTTCTAGAATTTCACCTACGCTGATGGCGTTTATTGGCAACTATACAATTTCACAGCAGCTGAGGCTAATTGCAGAAGAATGGGTTCCCATTTGGTCTCGATTCATTCAGAAAACGAAAACAATTTTGTGTTTGGTAAGTTCGGGGTGTGACCCGCTTTAATCTTCGGGGATGGTTTTGTTTCGGAATAGCCGAGTAGCACAAAAGGTTAATCGGGTTTTCCCAAAATACTCACAACATAACAAGAACACGCAACATCCAGCATAAGGTTAACGCTCGTGATCCGAGTACACAACGGATTGACACAATAGATCGATGGCAGCACAAATATTAGCAAATTCTTTCTCTAATGTTAGACCAGCTATCTAAACAGAATTTAGAAGCTTAAAAAGGAAAAATTATAAATCCAATTTATTTTACTTAGTATCGAATGAAAAGAAAGCAACATTACCCGTTACAAAAACAAAGTGCGCGTTTTTTTTCATTTTTTCATCAGATTCAAGTTCAAGTTAACTAAAACAAGACCTTAGCTAATAACTGAAAACCTTTTTAGCAGCCAGTTTGATGTACAACACAATATTCTAGGATGAATCTCTATGTCACTTTCGGCGCCTTTTTTTGGCCTTTTTTTGGAGGGCGCGGAAAAGGGCATAACTCAAGAACTAGGAGAACTCTGGCAAATAGTTATAAGTTCCAGAAACTACAGAAATTTGCTACATCTTTGGATGTGAGTTCAACAGGTTTTGTCGCAAGTCAAAAACGTTGCGCCAAATTTCGTCAGCCGCCCTGTAGAATCCTCATACAATTAGTACAAAATTTGAAGTAATCTTTAGATCTTGTATATGCAAACGCATTGAAAATACCGATCACAACTCCTGACAATAATTCATGTGGTTGGCAATGGGCTTGGATCGGCTATTATGGGAATGCAACAGTTGGTGTTGGAACTTGGACTGATGGAACTCTTGTTGATTTTGCATTGGGTGGGCGGTATCGCGAGCTGAATTACTATGTTGTAAGTGTAACTTTAAACAATAATTGCAAACGACTGTTATTGATTGACTGCATTTTATTAGATTATCTATTTTAGATTTCAAATGATCCGTCATGTAATTACCGAGATTGGTCAGGAAGTTCAACAAGTGTTGGACCAAGCTTTGCTCGTTTCGTTTGCAAGAGACCATCAAAGAGTCGTTTGGCCAAAGAAAAGGCATTTTTAGATAAATTTTGAATAAATCTTTTTGAAACAGACGGACATTACAAGGCAATTGTCGGTTTAAAACGGTGTAACATTCAAAAACTGAAAGATCTATTCAAAAAACTTCCTGGTTCAAAATATTTGCCCAAAACTTTTGTTGTCTGCAAGAGTAAGTTAATTTCTTATTTCTACTCTGCAGGAAGTTCCATTAATTTTCGAATTTCTGTTCCAAAATCGGGTCAAAGCGGTTAAAAATAGCTCAATGGATTAAGAATGTGCTGATAAAGGGTGTTTTTAAGCATTGATTTACAAAAAAGGAAGAACCTATGGTAATGGGAAATGGGGGACCACTCATCCTACCATTCAGGATGGTTTTATCTGCAAGCACCACTCGGGAGTTGTCGGAAATGTTCAATGTTCAGCCTAGCACCATTGAAGAGCATTCACATTTGATTGGAAAGCGCAACATATGCGGAAGATGGGTCTCACTTGAACTGACCTTCAATCACAAAATTTCCCGTATGAACACTTGTTCAATTTTGTTTCAAAAATCAAAAGCACATGATTTTTGGAAATCGATTGTTACTTCTGATGAAACGTGGATATTATATGATAACGTTAAGCGCAAGCACCAATGGCCATCACCAAAGCAAGTCCCGGTTCCCATGTCGAAACCTGGTCTGCATTTAAAGAGGTTGATGTTGTGCGTATGGTGGAACTGTCGTGGATTGGTTTATTTTGAACTGCTCAAACTGGGTAAAACTGTCACATCTGAACTTTACAGTGAGCAGTTAGAGCGTGTGAATCAAGCTTCATCGAAATCTCGACATGACACTTCAAAAATTCAATTTTTGCGTGATAATGCAAAACCGCACACGGCAAAGATGACCCTCCAACAAATCGAAGAGATGGGCTGGAAACTTCTACCTCATGCCCCATACAGCCCTGACTTGGCCCCATTCGACTATCACTTATTCAGGTCTCTAAAGCAGTTCTTCCCCGATCAGCTGTTCAAGGATTCCCGGGAAGTCGAAAATTTGGTCACCAACTATTTTTCGTCAAAAAGTCCCCAGTTCTTTAAAGATGGAATTATTGAATTGAGCAAAAGATGACATAATGTCCTAAATAATAATGCAGAATACCTTTTATATTAATCCTCTTTATTTATTGTTTTTTTTAAGGAAAAATTCGGGTCAAAAAAATTCGCATTATTTTCCCGCCAACCTAATATTTTGCTCTCTCGTCGCTCCTGAATAGACTATTAGATAAACGTGTTGAACATCAATGGATATCAGCATGAGGAAACTGAAAATTCTTCGTGAAGGTCGCTCTTCTCGTCCCTCAACTCGTCCAGTTGTCGTCGATTTACCTTTGATTTTTGTTCTCACCGTGATTTCTATAGGCGGAGTTTTTTGTGTCTTTTTGGCTAATCTTAATGATTAAGCAAGTAGATAATGTATGTATGTATTGTAGATATAATGAGCTGTATATGTCTTTATAGTCAAAAGCAAATGAAATCCCATTTTCAGACGAAATTGGTTCGATGAAATCATTCAGCTATGTACAGTAGCGGACATAATTTTAGCATATTTTTTGTTTTTCCCGAAACTTTTTTCTAACTTAAGCTATCGGGCCAAAATTTGCGCTGAACGTAGAAAATCTTCTAAAATTAGTATTTTACCATCTAAAAAATCCTCAAATTCTGTCTATAAGATTTTTCAAGAATTTTAGTGTAAAGCTGGACGACATAATTATAGCATATTTAGCGGTGAGCTGCTAATATTTTTCAAAACTATCTTTTTTCTTTCTTTGTTTAATATTTAGTTTAACGTTTAACGCGTCAAGTGATAATTCTGAATATCTTGCAGACCGCATGCGTAAGCGGCGGGAATTCGCGAAATTAACTGCCCTATCAAGGAATGTGAGCTACTGCTTTAGCTGTTAAAAGGCTTCAGCGACGTAGCGACTACTCTCAGCCTGTTCATTCAGGCTCTAGGGTGTTGGTTGCTTGCAACGTGTTTGGTGACTATTTGTATCGTGGTGCCAAAAGCGGAAAGCATTTTCGACGTTTTCTCTCGGAGAGATCGCAACTTGTTTTCATATCTGGTTGATCCTCCAGGACATATGCTCATGTAAAGACAAGCCATGATATCTTAGTTCAGCCCTTTACGGGTAGACTGTGAACGGCTCATTATAACAGTTAACATCCTCGCGAAATTAGCATTTTGGATACTTCTAGTAATTCTGAGCTAATACACTGCACTTCGGGTCATTTATTAGATTCACCAACCGCTTCGGCGTCAAGTGATGATTCTGAATATCTTGCAGACCGCATGCGTAAGCGGCGGCAATTCGCGAAATTAACTGCCCTATCAACTTTTGATGGTAGTTTAGTTGACTACCATGGTCGTAACGGGTAACGGAGGATCAGGGTTTGACTCCGGAGAGGATCCAGAAACGGCAACCACATCTACAGCGCAAATTACCCACTCTCAACCCGAGGAGGTGACAACAACTAACGAGACCGCCCCCTTTGGGAACAGTCATCGAAATGGTACAATTTAAACCCTTTAACGAGGATCAATGAGAGAGCAAGTCTGGGCCAGCAGCCGCTAATTCCAGCTCTCAAAGTGTATGTCATTATTGCTGCGGTTAAAAGCTCGTAGTTGGATCTGAGCCTTTGGATACGTTCACCTTTGTCATACTGATCCGGGTTAAATTCGTCGGTTCTCCAGGAGAGTTACTCTGAATAAATCAGAGTGCTCAAAACAAGCTTTCGCTTGAATGTTTTTGCATGGAATAATGGAAAAGGACTCGGTTCCTTACTGTTGGTTTGGAATTGATTAATGATAAGAGGGACCAACGGGGTATGCGTACCGCTACGGAGATGAAATTCATACGTACTGACGAACTAAGCGAAGCATGCCAAGAATGTCTTCATTAATCAGAACGAGTCGAGGTTCGAACGATTAGATACCCCTAGTCTGACCGTAAACGATACCATTAGGACCGGTGTTTTTACCGCCTTGCCGGGAGCTTCCCAAAAAAACTCGGTTCCGGGTGTAGGAAGCTGAACTTAAGGATTGAAACGCACCACCAGAGGCCTGCGGCTAATTTGACTCCCGGGAAACTCACCCGCCGACACGAGGATTGACAGACTGAGAGCCTTTCTTGATTCGGGGTTGGTGCATGGTCGTTCGTTGGTGAGGATTTGTTGGGGTATCGAGCCGCACAAGTGCGCATAAAGGTCTGTGAGCCCTTAGATGTTCGTGCTACACTGGATCTGCAACGTTTCCATGGCCAGGGTCCGGAAACCGTTGAAGATTCCGATCGGGATAGGAATTCAATTATTTCCCTTGAACAGGAATTTAGTGTGATCATCATCTCGCTCTAATATCCCTGCGATTTGTACACACGCCCTCGCTACCCGGGACTAACCGTTTCGAGAAATCCAGGAATCGTTCGGACTTGTCCGCAGGGTGACTGGTGATCGACGGTGACCGGGTAAGTCACAAGGCCGGTAGGAACCTGCGGTGGATCTACGACGCCTCGCGTCCAGTGCTAACACAGCTATAGCAGCACGCCCGACCGTACTTCGCGGCAACGAACCGTTGTGTCTACGCCTTGCGGAGAATACCGCCAACCTCGAGTTGATACCTCATAGGCCGGCCTTTTCGTCGAGACGACAGGAAGACGACGTCCGACAGGATGGTCCAAGAAACGCAAATTTCACGAGTAATCTAGAAAACAGAATCATAGTGAAAATCACTTCTAGTGGTGGATCACTTGGCTCGTAGATCGATGAAGAACGCAGCCAGCTGCGTTAATTGGTGCGAATTGCAAACACATTGAGCACGAAAGGCACTTGTAAAATTTTTGTTCTGATTTTTTGACGACTTTATGGGTTTCATTCTTCATGGAAATCTACGGGTAATTTACCATTGGAAAAGCTTTCTTTCGTCACTCACAGACACATTTGTTTGAGTCATAACTTTTCTGAGTCTGATTAATTTTATATCTTTTTTTTAAATGATTTGAAATGATCGCAAAAAGTTTCAAATATTCAACTGGTGACCTATTTTTATATGCCTATTTTTATTTTTTTGTCTATTAGTTTGGCCGACTAGTTCGTAAATTTTTTATTGACTTTTAAAGTGTAATTTCTCAAAAACCACAGCATCAATCTTTCCGAAAATCTAAAGAACATTAACAAATTAAAATTGTTTAGTAGACTAACTCACTTCCACTCGCCCACCGCTGCAAATGCTGAGCTCGCGGAAGACTGGGCTCTAATGTCGCAGTTTGGTTTTTGAAACTGCTTACGAAAGTTTAAACGCTATGACTTTTGAAAGAGTGTAACCAAAAAGAAAAGCATCATGATCAGTGTGCAACTCTGTGTCAATTGGTCTAAGGCTCATGTGATTTGGGCAGCACTTTCAGTTGGCCTTCCCAGAAAGTAGTCTCCTGATTCATTCATCTATGCAGAAGCTAGAGAATCACATCAGTGGATCAAATCGCCAACCTCCGAATCACCCAGGACTGCACTAATTAGGAATGAAAGATCCTTGATATCGTATTGTGGATATTTGCCATTCAAGGCGCTGCTCACCTCGCCGAGCAATTGCATGGTCATCACTCCGGGTCCCGTGCTGCCTTTTCAGTCCATTGGCCTCGTGGAGATTTTTGTCGGGCTATAAAGACATCAGGGAAATATTTGACTCGAAGAGTTTTCTTTGTTGGTGATTTCCTAGTTAAAAAGGGTTTTTAGATATTCTGTTTCACGAAAAAGCTACATATTCGCAAACCTTTCCCTGAGAGACAATATGCCTTAGGCATCATCGAAGGCCATAAGCTCATAGACAAGCTTCGACCAAAGAAAGCGTCTTTGTCAGATATAATTCACAAATCTATGTACCACTCCACCACTTTTATTATCTCTGAAAGAATTAAAGAATATTGAATGGGGTTTGCAAAGTGTGGGGAACATGAAAATACCCACATTTTTGTTTGAAGCTCCGTGTTTTATCACTCACCAACTTCACACGAAGTGACGGTTTTATTTTTCCTGAAATGCCACTTTTTTTCTCTATTTGAAGTGCTATTGGAAGTGATTGTTGCAACGGCTTAATGAGTCAATCGTCGGTTGGAAGGCGATCGCTTTTCTAAACAATTTCAGAGCTCTCAAAAGCTCTTTTCGGTGAAAAAAACAATTGTTTATCGCATCGTTGTCTCATTCGTTCTTCCCGTTTCCCCGAATTCAAAACGAATCAACCAATTCAGCAGAAAGGGTGTGATGGCCGTCGGTCTGTTCATCACGATTCTCCTTCTTTCTCATCAAACTTCTTCGTCGATTCAACAAAGCGTTCAAGTGGATCCATCCACGTATTCTTTTTCCTTCGAATAGCTATGTTTTCAACCATTCAGATCTCCGAATGATCGAGATGAGATTCTGTCTGGTGATCGTTGTACTTCGAAGTTGGTCAGAAAGAGATTTTTCGATGATCTTAGGTTTCAGAAGTAGAAAGGATTGTCCAGATACCGTCCGCTTGGGATCTTGTCTAAGAGAATTGTTGGTTATTTTGAGAGAAAATTTTGAGAGAATTTGCTAGAATAAACAAGAAATGGGCTTGAGTGTCTCAATGACAAAACTTTTCAGGAATGAAACCCAACAAGAACTGGTCAAGGCCCGAGTAAGAATCTGCCGACTCCAGACGGAAATGTGGGTGAAATCAAAAATCTTGAAGAATTCAAGCTCATCTCTTTTGGATTTTGAGTAGTGAGTAATTTGAGTATTCAGCGCAAGAAAGCTGAACGAAACGAAGGACAAAGACGTCGAGATGAGTCGATTGACAGCAAAAATGGCTCAAATCGAGGCGAATTTAATGGGGAAAAACGCAAAGTTGGACGCTGATTTGGTTGCCGAAAGGGAGAGCAATCGAGAATTGGAAAGGAAAATCGCCGAGACGAAAAGGAAGAACGACGATCTCGAAGCACAATTGTACTAATTTTGTAATTTTCTTTTTGACAAGCTCAATATATATTGGGTTGGGGAGAATGAGTCGGCGCCGAAAATCAAAAAAAAATGTCTAAAACTTCTATTCGACTTCGTCAAATAATATGATATCAGTAGAATGGTTAACTAATTCTCTACAAAATCACATTTAAAAGAAAATCCAAACAGCGCTTCCGCTCAAGAAAAAGCCATTTTTTCACAAAAACTACAAACTGTGATCTAGAAAAAGCCATTGGTGGGATCTTCCTGCAAATTTGGCAACTTAAGTAATTGAATGTGCTCTATCTTTTTTATATAAACACCAAAGAAGGTTTATGTGAAAGAAACTGTTCAAATGATGAGTCGGACTCTTTGCCATTTTAACCAGCTGCGTTTGGAAGTTCATAAACTCCACAAAGAAAAGCTTTGTGGAATCTCTCAAAAGTTATTTTGTAGAGAAATAGTGGATCCTTTTGATGAAACCAAACGTATGTTTAAAGAAGGCTTTATGTGTGCAAAAAGTCCCTTTAAAGTTGGGCGCCGACTCATTCTTCCCAACCCAATAGTTAAAATGCTAACTTTTTTCAGAAGCACTCAAAATACGGAAGTGAGAGACGGAAAAACCAAGATTGGAGAGCTCGACGGGAAAATCAACGCGTTGCAGAGCAAGAACTCTGACCCCGAAACCCAAATGTGAGTTTATTTGGTATCTCTTGTCGACTGAGACTTGCGAAAACAGTTTTTTTTGACGCCCAAAACACCCATTCCACTCAATCCAAACAATTCCTCTCTAGACGATTTGAACGGGAAAACAAAACGGCCGAGATTGCGAAGTTGCATGCAGATTTGTGAGTTTTTTAAGAAAAAGGATTGGGTATTTGTTTACAAAGTTTGGAATAATGTTTTGCGAAGAAATTCAGAAATCGAACGATGAATCTCTTGGATCCGGGTGGATGGTCGTATTTGGCAAAAACCGCTTCTTGGTACAAGGTTTGGTGGAGGTTGTGGGCCCGGATTATCTTCATCTCAAGGCTATCGATCAAAGAATTTCATTTGATGAGGCCGAGGCATATTGTGCGAGTCGAAAGAGCCATCTAGTCTCCATTCACAGTCAGGAAGAGAACTATTTTGTTCAGGAACTCGGTAAGAAAACGAAATGATTCAATTCTGAAAATTTATGATTATCGTAGAAATCTATGCTTTATAAACCAAAAGCAATCCATGTTTATTTCAGCGAAAACTGTTGGTTCGTATTCTTATTTCTGGATCGGACTGAAGGTTGAATTTTTCTTAAAAAACCAAATAAAAAGAAAGTAATAACAACCATTTTAGGAAGATTTTTGTGGAAAAATGATCCCTTGGCCTGATAGTTCTTTGATGGAAATCTAAAATGTAGAATTATATCAAATAAATTGGGAAACTAGAATAGTTTTAAAATGGAAAAAATTTGGTTGAAATAGCAATAGTGAAACATAAAAATTTCTTTATTCAGAGAAATCCGAACAAAGGAAATGCTTTTGAATGGACGGATGGAAGTTCGGTGAATTTCACGAATTGGTTTCCGGGATACCCGGTTTCGCACACCCACGCTGCGGTGAGATTCTCAATGTGAAATCATCAATATTTATTCCAATTTCCAATGCATAATTAAACTAAAAATATTTCGAGCACTTTCAGGAAATTTCTTTTTGTGAAATAACACAAAGTTTTTTATCAAAGATTGCCATCAGAAATGAAAACGTTTCAGCTTCGGAGCGAGGATGGGAAATGGGGGGTCTATTCTCCTACCTATCAGAATATTTTTGTCTGCAAAAGGAGCTCCCAATTCTGATAAATGCCTTATGTTCCTTTTTTGTGGACAAATACCAATAAATCCCATTTTATTCAATCTTCTGAAAACACACAACTGCACATTATCTTTTTCTTTATTTCTGAATTGTTTCTTCAAATTCCCATATAAAAGTTTTTCGAAAAACCCAGAATTCCGCCTGAAGCTGCAAGTATTTTGCTCTCTCGTCGCTCTCCTGAATAGACTATTAGATAAACGTGTTGAACATCAATGGATATCAGCATGAGGAAACTGACAATTCTTCGTGAAGGTCGCTCTTCTCGTCGATTTACCTTTGATTTTTGTTCTCTCTTTTTGTTCTCATTGTTGGTTCTGAAGCCGGAGATTTTGGTCTCTTTTTGGCTAATCTTAATGATCAAGCAAGTCGATAATGTATGTACAGTAGCGGACATAATTTTAGCATATTTTTTGTTTTTACCAAAACTTTTTTCTAATTTAAGCTATCGGGCCAAAATTTGCGCTGAACGTAGAAAATCTTCTAAAATTAGTATTTTACCATCTAAAAAATCCTCAAATTCTGTCTATAAGATTTTTCAAGAATTTTAGTGTAAAGCTGGACGACATAATTATAGCATATTTAGCGGTGAGCTGCTAATATTTTCCAAAATTTTCTTTTTTCTTTTTTTGTTTAATATTTAGTTTAACACAAAATAATTAGACAAGGGTAGAAACAAGGATACTTCAGTTATCAAAAGAATTGACTTTTTGAGGATAAAGGGTTTGGAGTTCACGCAAAACCAAATCAACGTAGCATTTGGAATCAACCATAGTACGGTATCGAGAATGTTAAAGAGGAAGAGGCAAACGGGGTCGACAGATGCTTATAAACATACGGGCCGAATCAAGAAAACCAGTGATCGAGATGATACGCGAATCGTTACGCTGACAAAACAGGATCCACGAAAGACTGCAATCAATATCCACAAGGGATTGCCTCAACAAGTAAAAGAATCTATAAGTTCCAGAACGGCGCAAAGATGTTTGTAAGCCGCTAAATTGTTTGGTAGACGCCCGGCTCACAAACCCTTGATTTCACCAAGAAACCCGAAGCTTCAACTCAAATTTGCTAAGGAGTACGTTGGATGGACTCTACACCATTGGTCTAAATGCCTTTTCTCGGATGAAAGTAGATTTAATCTATTTGAATCTGATGGAATTGCGTATGTTAGACGCCCAACAAACAAAAAAATTTTGTTTCTCGCTACTTGATTCCAACGGTAAAACACGGAGGTGGTTCTGTCATTGTATGGGGCGGCTTCTGTTCAACACGAATGATACCAATGAAACGCATAGAAGGTATTATGAATCAAAAAGTCTACTTGAGCATTCTCGAATCACATATGCTACCATTCGTACGGCAAAATTTAGGACAACATGTCCTAGATCAACATGATAATGATCCCAAACATAACGCACGTCTCGTACGAGAATGGTTTCAACGAAAGAAAATCAATGTTTCGGAGTGGTCAAGTCAAAATCCAGACTTAAATCCTATTGTACATTTGTGGAAAGAACTGGAGCGAGCCTGTAAGAGCATAAAAGTGCAGATTCTAAATGAAAAATTTTCTCTTTTGGCAAAAAAGTGGATGGAGATTCCACAAAGTGCCATTGACGCTTTACTCTCTTCGATGAATCACGGTTGCCAAGCCGTCATTGAAGCAAAAGGTAGACCGACAAAATATTAATGCGATTATGATAATTTATGATGGCTCTTGTTGATTTCATTGATTTTAATTGTTTTTATAAACAGTTGTTTAAATATGCTATAATTATGTCGTCCAGCTTTACACTAAAATTCTTGAAAAATCTCATAGACAGAATTTAAGGATTTTTTAGATGGTAAAATACTACGAAGAAACAGTTTTCGCTGAAATAAATATTGATTATTCTTGGTTTTATAAAGCATCAATTTCTACGAAAATCATGAATTTTCAGAATTGAGTCATTTCGATTTCTTATCGAGTTTCCAAACCAAATCGTGCTCTTCCTGACTGTGAATTGTGGCTAAATGGCCTTTTCGACTCGCACAATATGCCTCGGCTTCATTGAATGTCATTTCTTGATCGAACGCCTTGAGCTGAAGATAATCCTGGTTCACAAAGTTACAAAATTACACAAAGTTACAGAAAAGAAAGTTACAAAATTACAAAATGCCTCGAGATCGTCGTTCTTCCTTTTCGTCTCGGCGATTTTCCTTTCCAATTCTCGATTTCTTTCCCTTTCGTCAACCAACTCAGGCTCCAACTTTCCGATTTTCAAATTCGCCTGGATTTGAGCGATTTTTGCCGTCCATCGACTCATCTCGACGTCTTTGCCCTTTTTCATTTCTTCCCTAAACTCTTCGATTAAATTAAAGACTGTTTTTGATAAAAGCAAAGATATGGCGAAAAACCCACAAGTCGGCTTCGAGTTGGGCGATTTTCTTCAACGAGATGGCCGGTTCTTCTATGCGTTTGACACTCTTTTCAGGCAATTCTTCAGTCATTTCGGACATTTCTGGAGATTTGGAAAAAGCAGAGATGCTCTGAAGAAATCGAGGAGGAAGATTCGAGAGATTGTCCATTTCGGTTGCTAGACGATTCGATGCCTACAAAATGACTGAATTTTCTCGAAGAACAAGTGAAAATTAAAGGAAACAGCTACTAAAGAGGCAGAATTGATGAGAGAAGACCAAATCAAACAAGAAATTCGTTGGCAAGCAAAATAGGGATTTTTTACCACGGAAAATAAAGAGAAAGGAGAGGAATGCCCGATTTACAAATGACAGGGAATTTCAGTTTGAAACGGCTCCATGTGACGATTTTTTTTGGAAAGATGAGCCGTAATGGTGTTCGTTGAGAACAGGAATTGATTCTCCAATCGTCCGTATTTGTTGTGCCTTCGAAAGAGATTATCAAATGATGTCGATCGATTCCCGCAGAACTTTCGATACAGATTCTGTCCCATTTTCGGAGCGACAAAAATTTGTGTTGCGATTGGTGGCTTTCCTCTGCTTCAAGTGCTTTTCCATCTCCAAGGAAATTGCAAAAAAGCATTGACCCTTCAATCTTGAGGAATGAGGAAGCATTTTTGAAGAATTCTTAACCAAACTCTGCTTTCTTTATACAGTTCTGATAAATCTAGGCTGGACACTTACTCAAAGAAGCTGATGATCACTGTTTTCAGTTTTCAGGTTTCGCTTTGCTTTGGCACTGTATAAAAAAGTATAAAATAAGTATAAAAGTCCAAGTATCAAAAATTATTAATCATCACTTGAATCCGAATATGACGAGTTTGAAGAAGTAGCATCAGAGTCAATGTCGCTGTCATCGTCGGATGATGATGAAGAGAATTCAGAGCTTGATTCGGAGTCAGATTTCTTCCTCTTTCCGTCTTTTTCCAAAAAGTCTCGAGGAACCACCCTAAAATTTATACACTTACAGTGCTCCAACTAATTATAGAGCCACTTACATTTTTTAAAACTCAGTAGCGACTTTGAAGAGAAATCAATTAAATTCAACTTTGGTCAGTAGAGAATTTTTGTACTGATCTTTTCTATTCATTTTTATTTAGAAGTTGCTAACCGTCGTGACGCTTTATCTTTAAATTCAAAAAAATGACACTTTTCCGCTCCAACTAATTATAAAGCCACTCTGATTTTTGTTTGTAATTGTTTTTTTTTTTCATTTCCATTTATTTATAATTCGATTGACTTTACTTTATTAAGTTATTTTTAGTTATGGCAAGAGGTAAAATGCTTTCCGACTTCGAGAAAGGACAGATCGAAGCATATAACCACGCTGGAAGGAGTAATCGAGAAATTGCTCGACTTTTGGGTAGAAGTCATCACCTCGTTGATAGTTACCTTACTGATCCAGCCATATATGGCACTAGAAAATCAACAGGACGAATTCCGCAAGTATCAGACCAAGATAAAAGGCGAATTTGGCGAGCGGCTTCCAACAGCACAATTACATGTCGCCAAATCAAACGAGAATTGGGATTGCGAGGCGTGCTCCAACGATAACCGCTCAAAATAAAGAAAAACGTTTGAAATTTTGTCAAAGAAACATGCGTCAGGATTGGTCTAAGGTTAGCAAAAGCACCAAGTTGAATTTTTCTTACGTTTCATAGTTTAGGTAATCTAGAGCGATAAAAAAAAATTCAATCTTGATGGTTGCGATGGTTTCAAAGCATATTGGCACGATATCCGAAAAGAACCAAAGCTATTTTCACGACGAAATTTTGGCGGTGGAGGCGTAATGGTCTGGGGGTGCTTCACATCAACTGGAAGGATCAAATTAGCGTTTGCCCCAAAGAAAATCAATT